CCCCCCGTCTCGCCCCCCGCCATGGGGCCGCGGCACCTGCTGCTGCTCTCCCTGCTGCTCTCCCTGCAGCTCCTGGCCCTGCTGCTGGCCGCGCAGGCGGCCGGGCCCCCCCGCGCCAAGGGCAACCGGACCCAGGGGGCGGCGGCGCCCCGGCGGACCCCCAAGCCGGGCAAGGAGCTCCTCAACCAGACGCTGCCGGGCGCGGGGGCGGCCGCCCCCACGGCGCTGCCCGGGCGCGGCAAGGGCGCGGGCGGCGGCAGGACCCCCCCCGGCGGCGGGGGCGGCGGGGGGGCCTCGGCCCCGGCGCACGAGACGTGCTGGGGCTACTACGACGTGAGCGGGCAGTGGGACAAGGAGTTCGAGTGCAACAACAGCCTTACGGGGTTCCGCTACTGCTGCGGCACCTGCTTCTACCGCTTCTGCTGCAACAAGCGCGCGGAGAAGCTCAACCAGAGCCTGTGTCGCAACTACAAGAGTCCTGAGTGGGCCCACCCCACCACGGCCAGCGGCGCGCTGCCCGCCGACGGCAGCAACGGCGCTGATGGGGACGCCGATAAGTACGACCCGGACAAGGACAGCACCAACGCCACCGTCTACATCTCGTGTGGGGCCATCGCCTTTGTCCTCATCGCCGGCGTCTTCGCCAAGGTGGCCTACGACAAGGCGCGTCGCCCGCCCCGGGAGATGAACATACACAGGTGCGCTGCTCCCTGCTGCGTTCAGCACCCCTTCTGTCCGGCAACACCCTCTTGGCCAAAGGTCCTGCCTTGTGTGTTCAGGGGTTCCCCTGTGGGGCTGTCTGTCCAAGGGTGGGACCACGTGTCCAAGGGTTCCCCCACTGCCCTACGTGTCCAAGGGGTCCCTCTGTGAACCAYGCGCCCAAGAGCGTCTCTTTTGCACCGCGTGCCCAAGGATTTCCCCTTCACGAGGGCTATCCAGGGATTTCCCCTCTTTCCTGTCTCACGGGGCTTTCCCTCTGCTCCATCTGTGCAGACGCTTGGCTCCCAGACCTCCCTTCCCGTCTCCCAGCCAGACCGCCCTCAGCACTGCCTGTCCAGGAGCYCATCCTCCTGCACCTCCAGCCTTTCCCTGCTTGGGAAAGCGTCGCAGAACCTTCTCCCGCATTCCCTCTCCCCCTGGGCACCCCGCAGGCCTCCTGCTCCTCGGCGCCGTGTTCAGCATCGCGGCCGTGCCCCGCGCCGCGTTCAGAAAGTGCCCAAAGCTCCAGGTCCTCCCGGCAGGTCCTCCCGCCCTGCCGTTCCAGTGGGGATTTAGGGAAAGCAGCGATACGAGCATGTGGTCTTATTTGTTTGGTTGGTTTTCCCCCAAAATCCAGATAACTCAAGCTACAAGTCTGTCCTTGCTAGCTGTTTACTAGGGAAGTAGTTTGATATCCTATTTGCAGTGATTTTAGGCATCTTTGTTTTAATGTGTTTTTTTTTTTTCCTGCATAAGATTAAAAACAGTTGAAATGCATTGAAAAAAGTACTGTTCAAAAGCTAAAGCTCAGGCTTTCATAACATCTCCCCTTTCAGACAATCATACTTTTTTTTTTTTTTAACCAATTCATACTTATTTTGGTGAAAAAGTCCCTGCAAATGATGTGTGCGTCTGCTGTGCGGGGAGCCCAAGAGGTTTCCACGTCTGAACATAAAACCTGGGGAGGAGTTTCTTTATAAGAACAGCTGGTAGCACACTGATGGGAAGAGTGCCTATCTTGGGCAGATGATGCTTGATTTAATTCTAATTAAAAGCTTTTAATCAAAATAAACAAAGCCCTTGACCATATTTTTAAACCTGAACTTCAAATGAAGTTAAGAGCCTTAGCATATAGATTTTTTTTTATTTTTTTATGTAGAAAAAAAATGAAATAATGTCACAGTTTTTGTTTATTTGGTGAGATCTCTTTTTATTTAACCTGTTCTTCTAAGAAAACACACTGGCTGGTGTAAATTCTTATGTCTTTAAGGAGGGCAAAAAGTAATGCGGGTTTACATTTGCAGAGGGTCTAGCCTATGTTTTCTAACACAAGTGCCAGTGCTGCAAGAAAATAACTTTGCAGTGTTAAAAACACTGTAATATCTCTGAGGTCACTTTTGTCTGTGCAAAAGGCATCCTGAAAGCAGCTTAGTTGAAACAGATTCTTTTTCCTATTGGCGTAGATAAGGGCTGCTTCTCCAAGTGTCCAGATCTTTTGGTTTCAAGACAACCATGTCCATTTGTATCAGCCAAACAATCTYGTCTTCACGTGAGATTTGGAAATTTGACACTCGTATGTTACTTTTGCTGTAGCTCCAGTGTGTTGCAGGGCTGGATCCTACACCCTCTGAAATCAGAGACAATGTTGCCCGACTTGTCTAAATTATTCCTGGTGTTTTCATTTCTTTGATGCTTGATTTTCTTTATTTAGCTAGGTTCTGGGTAAAATGATTCACCTGTGTGCAGAAGTATGARTGGCAGATTGAGTGCTTGAAAAGCTTGACTTACAGTGCATTTTAAGGACTTGATTGACTTCTATAATATGATAGCTGGTGAAAGATTATACCTTTTGGAGATGTGTTACCTGAACTTGATCAACATTGCATGATGGTTTAAATATTATGAAGTGCATTTCCAGCAGATAAGGTCTACATCGGTCTAAGCAATAATGCTACCCACAATCTAAATAGAATGTGAATATGTGGAGTGGAATGGTTTGTCTTTGCTTCCGAGAACTGCTGCTGAGAACAGAGAAGAATCAAATAGAGAATGAGCACAATGTAGTCAGATATTTATATCTTTTTTGAGGCTATGTCAATTGGAGTTAAGTATAACATCCAGAAGAATTCACTGTAGTGATGATAAGTGCATTAAATCTCAATGTGCACACCACCAAAATCTCTGGGCTGAGAAGAACAACAGCTTAAGCAAAAATCATAAGCAGCCACCGTCACTGTTCTACACCCAGGGAGATTAAACAAGCCTTTGCCACCCTTGAGCACAAACAATATCTCAGTTTAAATTTAGTCTTGCAGTAAAGAGATAGAAATGGTTGGCTAGCACAATTGTGTTTGCAAAGTTCTCATTCAGCTCGTGGAGAAAATTTTTGTCAATACAGTTAGAACATTTTGATGGGTACAGGGCTCATTTGTGTCTTCTGATAGGAAAGTGGGTGTACACATTCACAGCAGTGCCGTCACTCTCGTGTGGAATGAAAGGCTGCCTGCGCGTTGAGATAGGCATGTGCGTTTCGGGGCTGAAAATTGAGCCTTGTTTGAAGGCGCTTGCAGGCACCTCTGAAGCGAAGGCATCGCTGTGATTCTGGGATGAGTCGCTTCAGTAGCTGATGCTTGTGTGTGTTTCTAAGAGTAGCAAGTGAAAGTGCTTGGGAAAAAAAAAAAAAAGCAGAGGCTAAAATATTCATAGTTTACAGAAACATTTGCAATGTTTTAAAACCCAACAGATTTTTTAATGGTTATAGTATCTTTCAGCCTGTGTATAAATGCCTCTTGCCTGGATTTCTTAAATCTTGCTTCAGAGTTACATAGAGAGAGCTCATGCATTTTGGGCTCTAGGTAGAAATTGAAGCTGATTTCTGAGAGTTTCACCAAGCAGTGCATTGTATGGCTTAGCCTCTGTCCACTGATGGATTTGTGTGGGCAATGGGCAGTTTTCTGAATTTTTTTTTTCCTGAAGTATTTCTTCAGTGGGTAGAATCTTTTCCTTAGATTAACTATGGGAACTAAGTAGAGAATATTTGACTGCACACGAGGCATTTCAGCTGTTTGTTTTCAAAGCAAAAGGTCTTCTGTAGCAAAGGGGGGATGACCCAGAACATTCTCTTCCAGTAGGCACGACCCTAAGTCCCTGCTCTACACCACATGCATAATTTAGTGTTAGTAGTATCACTCCATGACCCCTTTTAGCCCTCAGCAGCAGTAACCATTGCACTCATTACCCAAATAAGAGTGCACCAACTGGAAACAGCTCTTCATCRTTTACAGCAAGGGTCTGAACTGCTACCAACTGCTTGCCACGTGGCAGCCAGAGCCCTCCCTGCTTGCAAGCCAGAGACAGATCGCTTCGTGACGGCCCCGGGGCAGTGGTGGAGAGCCCAGACGTTCCTCTTGTAGCTGCTGGAAAGCAGGACTGTTATTTCTTTTTATTTTTTTTTCCCTAGCAAACTAGGTTTGCCCCCTCTTAAAAGGCATCTTCCACCTGTGTCCGTCCCTCATGTGTGTCCAGTGATTGCTTTAACTTCTGCAAGGGCAAGGGGCAAAAGCACCTTCTTGTCAGGGAGTTTCACATTACTCCATGCCCAGGTCATATTTGTTTTCGCAAAGAGAGCGATTCGTGCGACTCTCTTCATCAACCTCTGCTGTGCATCCTCTCTGCTGTGAATAACASTGAGCGTTTTTTTTAATAAATGAGCAGCCTTTTCCCAAGTAGCAGCCCGGTTAAATTGATCTATTCCTTGCCATATTTATTCTGCAGCTCTGAATTTCAACAGAAACCTGAGGCAATGGATCCGTTTGTTCACAGAGCCAGCAAGGCTGAACTATTTTGCTCTCTGAAAATTTTGGAGATTTGCTTTTGCTGCAGGCTGCGTCTCAGCGCAGCACTTGGCCTCCGAGGTTGCTGGAGGAATCACTGGAGAGCAGAGAGTTTCAGGCCTCTTGGCTAATGGTGGAGCTTGTAAAACCACTTATCTCCAGACTTCAGTTTGCAAACGAGATCCAGCTGGTGCAGCTCTGCGCTTGGACGTGTGTGCTTCTTGAGCTAAGCAATCACATTTTATGCCTCCCCAGGGCTGTGGGAGAGCGCTGAGAGCACACACCTGGCTGCATGGGTTGTACAGAGGATTTTCTGAGACTGTTACCGTTTTCTTTGTGATTTTTTTTTCTCCCCACTCATTGTTTTTACTTCACTTCGACTTCTTCATCCAAGACACTCACATGTCTTTCATATGCTCTTTGCCTCCGCTTTATGTTGTGTAATCCTGATGACTTCTGATTTTCATCTCTGAAGTGCCTCATTTCTCCCACAGGCAGAGAAAATAGGTCCACAAGTAGATGCCAGACTTGATTAAGCTAAAACAGAAAAAGGTACAATCTTGCCTCAGAGAAGTTGCTCATAAATAGTTTTCTCTTTCAAACCAATGCTAGACTCTATTCTGGTAACCAGAGCTCCCACCCAGCAAGAAGCCCTGAGTCTGGTCTTGCTTTCCAGTGATGATGACCCATTTCCAGAGAGCCAAGTCCAGATGCAATATATATTTCTGGGCATGTACTTGTACGAAACCCTTTTTCCTTTTGTTGTATATACTGTGGTCACAGTTTGGTGGCTGCTTTTCTATACTTTCTTTGTTGTCTCTGTCTTCTAAAGGATCTAGCTTTGGCGCTCGCATAGTCTGCCCAGCTGTAGATTTCCCCCGTCTATATTTGATTTCTCCCTTTCTCTTTCAGAACTTCATGCAGTAAGAGCAGCTACTCTTAGAAACCATACTCCCTTCATCAGATCCTTTCAGTGCCTCTGATTCCCATTTATTTAACATTTTCCTGCTCTCTAATTATCTTTCTCCATTAGTAACACTCTATCACAAGGTGTCAAGGGAACCCTGSCTCGCTCTAAACTTATGTTTCTTTTAGTTGTGCAGCCTCTCATATCCTTAACTACTGGTTGATCTCTATATCTTGGAGATCAGAAGCATTTTAAAGCT